TGCACGATGAATAAAGTTATTCTTCTCTTGAGTACAGAAAGGGCTGAAATAAGATATATAATTCTTCCTAATTATAAATTGTAAATACAGGGTAGATGCTCACAAAAAAGATATATTTAACATATATATATATATATATTTTCAATAGTTAAAACATATACTGAAGGAAACACTGTACACTTATTAAAAATTTCCTGCTTCTGTTTTTTTTTTTTTTAACCAGACAGATAACAAAGAAAATGAAAGACATTCAATACTGGGGCAATAAATATAGCAGTGCAGAGTATTAGGTTATGTACACAGGTGGTTCTTAAGATAAACTAAGTTATTCTATTTCTGGCTCTTAAGAAACTGTACAATGATAATTTCTTCGAAATGTCTCTGAGGATAACACTGCAAAGTAAAATCAAATAAAACTGAACTAAAAATTGTCTACTTAAAAACCTTTGATAAGAAAAAAGTCACAGATGAATCCTAGAGCTTATTTGTATAGCCTAAACCTGAAAGATTTGTGCAATTATTAAAGTGAACATTTACTTAGGAATACAAAGTCAAATAAAGCCATACTGTAAAAAGATTTTAAAAGTCGTTTTCCTTTTGGGAATGTTCACTCTCAACAGGGGGACTAGCCCATAGTAGGTGAAATACCTACTGAGTGAATATTTGTTGAGATAAAACAGAAAGTGCTGCATTCAGGATAACCTCAAAATTAGTTATGTTAAGGTAATTTTAAATTAAAATTTTTGTAAAACACCCTACCCTGTAAGTGATTTATGGATAACCTTATGTATGCCTTTAAAATATATTTATATACCTTTAATTAATATTAATTTTATATATAGATATATATGTATACATTTGGTGATTGGGAGGAAAACATCAATCTATATTAATATTTTAAACTATTTTAAAAATCATCAAAATATAACTATGGGGTTAGAAACTAACCATCTTTCCCTATGCTATTATCATACCAATCCTATACCTTGATAAAATGAAGTGTTCTTATAGTGGTATGTTTTGGGTTAACTGAAGGATTATCAGGCAATCGACTTATTTCTAAATTTAATACTAATTACAGTAAATTGCTTCCAAAATGACTTCATATTTTAGGTATATATTTGAATTTAACAAATATGAGAAAAGTAATTTAAATAACACAATTAAGGAGTACAATTGTTTCTAAAATATTAATATATTTTTCCACCAGAGGGCGACATTTGCAAGACATTTCAATCTCTGGAAAGTATTTCTTTACCCAGGGATGTAAATAAACGTAGACATTTTTCATTGCAGTTGGTTTATATTTCATGTAATTATTTAAAAATATCCATATTATCATTTAAAATTTTTATATAAAGCTCAACATCTACTAATAGTAAAATATGCACAGTAATAAGTTTACTCTTTATATAAGAGAACTTTCAAAGGAAACAGGTATATATTTTTGTTTTTTATTTCAATTTATTAATAACAATCCAGTTCAAATATTATTAAAAATATTAGTGTGGAAGAAACAAAGGAAAAGAAGTTTTCATGAGGGAATAATGAAAAATTTATAGAATTTTACAAATGGAATGTATAATAGAGATCACCTACTATAAGACTCCATTGTTGCCAATAAAAATGTGGTCCAAGGGGGCTAGAAGTCCTGGAAACATATGAAAATGCTGAATATTGAGCCCTACCCTATACCTATTGAGTCAGAATCTCTGTTTCAATAACACCTTAAACTGTGAGAAATGGCTGCCACTCATGCTTATAATCAGGTGTGTGACTTCCAGCAATTCTTAAATCTCACTTTCCTCCTCCTTAAAATGGGAAGAAAACCATTTTAGGTCTGAGGTTGTGGCTCAGTGGCAGAGCACTTGCTTAGCATGTGCGAGGCACTAGATTCAATTCTCAGCACTGCATATAAATAAATAAAATAAAGGTTCATTGACAGCTAAAAACCTTTTTTAAGAAAATTTAGTTTAAAAATTATGAGGAATAAGTGATGTCAGAATGAAAATAAAAGCCATTCATAAACTGTAATATTCTATTCAGGTTTGTTATACTCAATGAAACCTTCTTGGGAGGAGGGACAGTTCTCCCGGAGGAAAGGTTGGACTAATCATGGGATTTGAAGCACTGTTAAAATTGAATATAAAGTATTTGAGATAAAGGAGAGTGTCTAGAGAAAGTAATTTCTTTTTTATCCACCCAAATTAATACCATATGTATAATTGCTAACATGTCTTTGCCTAAAGATAAATCCAATTAATTTATCAGGGTCACAAAAGTCCATGTTTAGTGTTTGAAATTTGGGACCATTTATGAAGAAAATCTTTTGGGTTAGTGAATGGTATGTGGGTATACATCTCACATATTGGGAGAAGCTATTATTTAAAAATAACCCCATGACATTGTTAAGCTTCAGGTGGTCCAACAACAATTCTTATAATTCTCTACATACATTTTCCCCTTGTTTATGACTTTGCTAAAAGTTCCTCCTCTGGCTGGGATGCTTTTCAACTGCTACCACCCCTCCTGCCTGCCCGATTCCACAGGGCTGCCATCATCTTCGTAGGTCTAAATTTCTTTTAAAATATTAAGACAGACAAGAGAACATTGCCTTCTGAGATCTTTTGTGTTTACTTCCACACATAAGCTGAGTATTTAACTTGCCTCATTTTACCTATAATTATTTGTAACCATATTTGTCTGTCTCCCATGTAGCTTGTACAGTCTCTCATGGGGGTTTTCCCAGACCTAGTGTAGTTCTTGGCACTCAATGAATATTCTTAGAATGGATAAATCAATATTAGCAATTATTTTGGTTCAGGCACTCAAACTGCTATCAAGAGAATGAAGGAGAAGGCCAGATAATATTTATTTCAGTGTAGGTGAAAATAATGTAATTATTTTACTATAGAAATAATATTTTAATGCTGGATTTATTTTGTTTGGTCTTTTTGAGATATAGAGATAGATAGATAGATAGATAGATAGATAGATAGATAGATAGATGGAGGTAGATAGATGTGGCCCTCAAGTTTTCTGGTGGTTCAGATTTCTAGTCACTGAGGTTGAAATTTAGACAGCAATACCAGCTTTACAAACATTTGTCATAGCTTTCATTTTGTGTAAATTTTCAGAATTTCAAAATCATATATATTTCTAAATGAAATAAATTTATTGGATGAGTTATTAAAGACTTACCATGGATATATTTTAAAGCACCTGGTTGAGGCAAGTCCTGAGTAACTTGAGATTTTGTTTGTAAGGGGCAAGTGTAATGAGTTTTTTTCTCATACCTGATATTCTTTGGAAGTAGATAATATTTTAAGGCATTCTAGGATTCATTGAAATATTCATTCACTGTTTTATTGGAGATGTATAATTTAATGTATGTTTATCAAAATTTAAAAGAAACTATGTTTCTAGTATTCTTTCTTACCATAATTCATAGTGGAATATAATTTGGCAACTATCAAATTTAATAATAGAGAGTGTTTTTGAAAACTTGTGAATTTTTCCAATTATCTGTTCATCAAATCTATCCACTATATCATTTACACTATTCAGGGAATATTCTTACATGATTCTATATTTAGGTTCATGTAGTTGAAGATTTAGGACCATGGTCTCTAACTAAAATCTACTCCCCCTCTTGGCTTAAATAACATTTAATGTTTTGACCTTGAGAATGTGGTTCAAGGCCAAGCTGTTTTATAAGCATTCGCCTGAATTGCATCTAAGAGGTTTGTGGGTTTGTGATTCATGTGAAAGGCATTAATAATTCATATTAATTTTGTACAGTTTTCTTGCTTTGCTTAATGAAATAAATTCATTGATGCTATACTTATAGATGAAAATCTTAAAAAATCTTACACGGATACCTCTCCAAAAGTTTGCTTTAAGAGAAAGCAGCTCAAAGCAGGGAAAGATTTCAACAGAATTTAAGTATATTAAAATAAATCTTAAAACATTTTCAAATTATATATATACATATACATATATGTATGTGTGTGTATATATATACATATATATGTGTGTGTATGTATATGTGTGTGTGTATTTGGGGGATACAGGGGATTAAACTGAGGGGCACTTGACCACAAAGCCACATCCCCAGCACTATTCTGTATTTTATTTAGAGACAGGGTCTCACTGAGTTGCCTAGTGCCTTTCCATTGCTGAGGCTGGCTTTACAAATTATATACTTTTTAACAACCACAGGTATAGGTACAGATTTCATTAGTATATTCATTTCAGTAATGTATTGAAAATTAATTATAGATTCTTAAAATTCTAAGAAATTTATATTAATTTTTCTGTCTTTTATTTTTTCTAGTGCTCTGACATTATAGCTTTTTTTTTTTTTTTTTTTCCTTCTTTCTCTTTTTCCCCCCCCCCCCCTTTTTTTTTCTTTTTCTTTCTCTCTATTTTTATCTACCCCACTACCTACTTTTTTTTTTCAGGGATTAAATCAAACACACAGACGATATAATTATGCATTTTGTACACAGATATTTTATGTTTTAAGAAATCCAGGTGCTCAGGAATATCGCAAACCTAAGTGAAATATCTTGCAATCTTCTTTCCCTGCAATACTGTCAGAGCTGGCATCATCATCGTGCTGGGCAAAACGTAGCACTGGAAGTAATTTGTCATTTTTAAAATAAAGTCTTCTTCCCTTGCAGAACCAAATACAACATTCTTCCTGCAAACTCTGGAGATGATAACATTTTCCCTTGGTTTCCATAGCATCCGTTCCTGAAGAGCCTCAGAATGGCCCTTGGTCAAGGCGATCCGCCCAGCTCCCCTAGAAAGTTGATAACCCGGGTAGCCAAAAAGAAGCGGACCCTTTTCTGAAACTCTGTCCGTGGTGCTGAACCATTCTGTCCAGAACCGCCCAGACGGGCGCTGTCAGCTGTTCTGAAAAATTCTTCCCTGACGCTGCCCAAATCAGAATTGTTTGTATTATTTACTCACGTCCTCAAAGAGCAGCAGACCTTCTCCATCTTAATTCGACACTACCGCAGAGCCGAGTTACGCCGGCGTGATGGGAGGAGACCAAGGGAAGGGAGGAAAAACTAGCGGCTTTGCTCACCTGAGACCTGAGATGCTCCCATGAGTTTTCAAAGTGCTGGGCTCCTTACGGCAAAGACACCATTTTATAAAGTAGTATTCTTTTGATTTTGCCCTTAAACAGGGGTTCTGCGACATTTACAGCCCCTCTGTTTAAAAGCCAGCCGACTTGACTGCAATAAGCTTTCAAAACTGGGAATGTACATTGTTTTTCAGTGAACTGATTTCCAGGACAAGGACTCATCTGCACCCGCCCAAATACCATGGCACTGCTTGCGCCCTTTGCCACCGGATCCTTCTCTTCCAATGAGACTTTCTGATTGTGTCTACCAACTCTCCTATTAGGAAACCCGTGGGTTGCATGCGGCTATTCTGTTGTATTCTCATTCTCACCCTCCCTCCCCTCTCTCACTCGCACTCTTGCTGGAGGCACACCAATACCATTCCGCTGAGAAGAAAAAGCCCACAACTACCTTAAGCGATTAAGACAATATGCGCAACCCTCGCCTTTCATAGTAATCGCTGTTTAAACCTGGCAAAACCGAACACCAGTCTTTGCAAGAATGGAGTCGGTAAAACAAAGGATTTTGGCCCCAGGAAAAGAGGAACTAAAGAATTTTGCTGGAAAATCCCTTGGCCAGATCTACAGGTAAGAGAAAGCAAACCCGCGGGGCTCGCCATGGAAAAAAAATCTGCAGGGCAATTTCCATAAACCTTGGATGCTTAGAGACCGTAGTATGATCAGAAAATCTTTTTGTTGCTCATTGCTGGAACAAGGCTGCTCTGGAAACCTGCTTATTAATGCAAGAATGTTACACTAAATGAACCTGTGTGTGTGTGTGTGTGTGTGTGTGTGTGTGTGTGTGTGTGTGAGAGAGAGAGAGAGAGAGAGAGAGAGAGAGAGAGAGAGAGATTTGTGTTGGTATCTGCAAATTTTCATCCTTTACAACCCGGTACTTATCCCATTTGCATGTGAGAAATGACTAGTTCCTGTTCAAAGAGCTTTCCTTTTGGTGCTTATAAATACCTCAAATTAGATTCCTTTGATACAGACAAATGAATATCAAAGTACAACACTCTAAAAAATTAACCAAGAAATTCCGAAGACTAGTGGCAAAAAGAAATTAAGGTCTCAGCTTCGAGACCATAGTAGAAATTCCCCATGGGATTTTCCTTTTGTATTGAATGGAAAGGAATAAAAATGTATCAATAATGGATAACTAAAGTAGTTCTTCTCTCTGAACCAGCAATAATGTATATGTATTTTTAATCATTTACCCTCTTCTATATGTCTATTTCTTTCATGGTAAATGCCCTAGTGTTTGCATGAGCAACAATAATAATAATCAGTGAATTTACTTTGAAAGTACTAGAATTGTTTTTTTAAAAAATTTAATACCCCTTGTAGCCACTGTACTAATGATGCTGTAAATTGCACAACTTAAATCTTTTCAGATATGTTATATGAATGCATCTTTTTGTTAATAATATGAGCAAAATCAACAAGAGAGAGCAGACACAGAAGGATAAACGATTCTAAGCACTAATTTTTCACATTTGGGAAATCTGAAGCATTTGTAAAATATAGGAGATGTCAAGAAAATGACCCATGCTCCTCCCAGTTTTGCAAATCTCCTCGGTTCTGGTGGGCTTCCTGTACACACCATCATGCACCTATGCGGCAGCACATACCGCAAGGGCCCTGCAGTCCCGCAGCTCCCCTAAAAAGGACTGCTCTTTCCCAGCCCAACTGCCATCAGGTGGGGAGTTTAGATGCCGAGTTCAGATTTGCATTTATGAACATATAAAATATCACATTGATGAATTTTCCCCTCGAATAAATAAATTGAATGTTTCCTAACATTGGAATCAGACTTGATGGATCAGCTTTAACCTACCTGTAAATACCTTTATGACCTATTATCCAGGTGATAGTCTATAGAATTTGAAAGTCTGATATATTCTGTTCTGGTAACCTCAGATCTGGGGGCAGCTTTATACCAAGTATGCATTCTTGGAATCGATTTAAAATTTTCATTGGGTTCACTCGCGTGAGTGAAAATAACACAAATGTGCATGTGTTATTTAAAAGATCCCAGATTAAAATTTAATTCCGTGGTAAATTGGGAGAATATTTTCCAATTGTAAACGAAAAGACTTGATTTTTTTAAATATCGAAAATTATCTCAGGGAGATAACAATGCTGTTACTTTTCACACTCTTTTTTTTTTTTAAATATAAATTTCATGGACATGTTGGATTAGAACAATAGTACCATCTTTTAGTAAATCCATTCCATCACTCGGCTGTCTCTTCCCTTTCTTTTCCCGCTTCCCCCAAGGGCGAAAGCCCGAAAGGAATTGAATCAAACAGGCGAAATCTTATGAAATACTATTTTTTTTTAAAAAAAAAGTAAGATCTTTCACCTTGGTGTGGGACAGTGGTTCTGGGGGCGCCTTTGTACATTTTACGTCTTTGGAAATGGGCCCCTGATATTTTTCGGTGTTTGTAACCGAGATAGTAATGACGCAAGATTGTGAATAATTAATTATTCATGTTCTAGCAGTAGAAAGCTAAGGTGTCAGCCATATGTACGGAGGCCTTTGTTTCCAACTCGAATAAAAATAAAATAAAACAAAGATGCTTAACAGAGAAGTAAGTATTTAACTGGCACCCTGGAGCTGGAGGAGAGGGAAGTAAAGTGCTTGACACTCGCAGAGAGGATTCCGGCCCTTGTTGGCATGGCTGCGGGCCTCTGCCTGGGTAGGGTGTGAGGGTGGGCTCAGCTGAGGGGCGGGATCCAGGCGTGCTCAACCCAGAAAGCTTCAACTTGGCTGAGAGGGAGCGGGTTTCGAGGTTGTGGCCGTGCGGGTCCGCAGCCAGGGAGCCCGCGGGAGGTTGGGTGATTGAGTAAGACCCGCACTTGCTAGCGTAAAGCACTGCGGAACGGGGAGATGGGGGCGGGTGGGGAGAAGTCCTCAGAGGTGACCGGGACACGCGGCTCTGCTAGCCCCTTCCCACAAGCTGCAGACCCCAAATAAAGTCTGGTTCCAGTGACCTATGCCTGAATGGAGGAACTGAAGGGGGGGATCCCGAGAGCATGGGGAGTCTCTGTTTTAGGCCCGAAGGTATTAAAATTCAAGCAACGCGGCCGCGGGGAGGGGGACTGATAAAATGTTAGAGAACTCAGAAGGCCCTGAAGCTCCAGGGAGGAACGATGTCAGTACCCCTGATCCCAGTCCCAAAGGGTCTTGGAAAATGCGACTGGGCCTGCATCCTGGGTGCCTAACGCGGCGTCCTTGCTTCCCACTACTCTGACGCGCAGGGTGCTGGAGAAGAAACAGGAGACCGGGGAGACCATCGAGCTGACCGAGGATGGGAAGCCTCTGGAGGTGCCTGAGAAGAAGGCGCCGCTGTGCGACTGCACGTGCTTTGGCCTGCCGCGCCGCTACATCATCGCGATCATGAGCGGCCTGGGCTTCTGCATCTCCTTTGGCATTCGCTGCAACTTGGGCGTGGCCATTGTGGACATGGTCAACAACAGCACCATCCACCGCGGGGGCAAAGTCATCAAGGAGGTGGGCGACAGAGGGGTCCCCCAGGTTCCCCACTCGCTGGCCTTGTGGCCTCTCAGAACCACATCGACTGAATCCTGTTATCCCCTCACCGAAAGAGGAAGGCAGGGATGCTTTCCAAGCCCCTTTCAAGTACTGCCATTGTAGAATGGACCGCAATAATGTTCCCTATGTCTTTATCTCTTCGTATCTTTATCTGGGCCTTTCCTTTTTCGTCTGCAAAGTAGAAAATAGCGTCCAGCTCACTAGATTTTTGTGAAGAGTGGCTTTATACGAGTTGGTGACTTACAATGCCTGCTAAGTGTAAATAGAAGTATTTTCCTTTTCCTTGGAGGGAGAGAGTAGCATATTAGTTATAATTTCCCCCGACTTCCTCCAGATCCCGCCCAAACATTTTTAATAATCAAAATGAAACAAAACAAATCAAATCAGCTGTGTGCATATCCGCAGGTTTGGTAGGGGCCCTTTAGGAAGGTCGACCTCCCTGATTTGGAAAGGATCTGCAGCACAGCGAGTCCTGGATCCACAGGGCGACCACTCCGTAGTCTTATAATGTGTGTCTTAGGTGGAGAGGCCTAGAGATGGGAGGGTCAGTCCAAGGTCACAGAAGTCCCCCTAATTCCTTTTGTTCGGGACTTATGTAGCCTGACCATAACCGGGTTGCAAAAAGATTCGGAGGAGAAATTGAGGAATGTTCTGTGGGTGGAAAGCAGGAGCATTACTGGGGTCTGGGGAGTCCAGAAACCCCTACAAAACCCGTTTGGTTTCAAAATTTCATTAAAAAGGAGAAAAAAGGTCCCCAGTTTTCTGGACATGATAGCTGCTCTCTTTACAGCGCTAATGCAGATATGTCACCTCAGTATCCTTTGAGATTCACCTTCTGGGGCTGGGTGGAGTTAGGCCTGGACCTTCAGATATATCTCTCATCCACACCCTTTAATAATAGCTTCCTCTCCACTGATCCCCTGCCCCCAAAACAAAACAAAAAATCTCAAGGGCAAATGGCTCTAAGACCTTCCTGCGGGAACCCTTCCGATTTGGGAGAGACACCCTTTCTCTTAACCCTTGAAGTCTTATCCTTTCCTTTTACTTAGTTTCCCTATTTGGATCAAGAGGGTTGTGTTCCAGTCTCCAAAGTCATTACTGCACCCTCATTGGTGCACAGCCAGGGACAAAAATACCCTTGCCAGGAGTGTCTATCGCTCGCGAACCAGTCTTTTCAATGGGAGTCTGAATTTCCAATTTACTGGGACAGTAGAGATTCCCCACTCACTGAAGCATTCCCACCTGCCTGACGGGGAGGGGAAGCAAAGCTAGGGAGCCCAGCTTCACTGTTTTCATGGAGATATATTTCGTTAATGAGCACCTTCTTTAATTAGACGAAGCAATTTTGTAAGGAAACGAAAATTAAGTCGCGACACCTTCAGACTAAAGGAAATGTCCCACAGAGTTGAGGGCTAGTTTGGCCTGCAAATCCCTGAAAGTGAATTTTCCACACTAACTCTACTCTTTCCCTCCCCTCCCCTTTCCCCGCTCTACCTTTCTAGAAAGCCAAATTCAACTGGGACCCAGAAACCGTGGGAATGATCCATGGTTCCTTCTTTTGGGGCTACATTATCACCCAGATTCCGGGCGGATACATCGCGTCTCGGCTGGCAGCCAACAGGTAATACACCTGGCTGGGCTGTAGTTCAGGGGCTTGGTGTTTGTAACATTCGAAGATAACCCAGTGGGGTTTAGGAACTCCCGGGGGCGGGTGGGGGGAGTCTTTTGGTGCCTTGACCAACGCACAAAGGGGTAGACGAACTTTTGTCTTTTTCCAGAGTCAAAAAGATTTAGGGTCTCTGAGGCGACCGCGGGCAAATTTGCCCACTCTGGTGACTGAACAGGCTTTTCGAGAAAGGGTGGACAGAATAGGAGTTGTAGCCAGACAAGGAACCGCCACCCCACCCTTCGCAGTCCCCGCTGGCCAAGACAGCGTGATCCCGGGTGTGCAAAGTGGGTGTGGAGGGTCGTCAAGTGTGGTGCTTTTACCCGTGCATCCCACGAGTTTAAAAAAAAAAAAAAAAATCATCAGTCCCAGATCTCTGCAGCGCTGACCCCCTGCCGGCCGCGAGGAATGCTTGGCCCTGGGGCATGCCTAGATGATGTTTTGTGTCTGAAGAAATCGAAATGGACTGGTCTCTATCAAAGCAGGTGGGATTTCCCGTGCCCGGGGCGCGAGTCCACCTGTTAATGAGCTTGGCTGCTTAGGGGCGGGAGTGCGGAGAGCGCTCAGCTGCGCCCTGGGCCTCCAGCTCAGCCGTGGTAGCTGCAGACGGGGTCCTAGCGCTAGCTTCCAGGAGTTACCCAGAAGCATCTGCAAAACCTGCCGCAAAAGGACTGATGGGTGGGGATGTCAAGGAGCACAGCCCGGCCACCCGAGGGTGAGAGGCAGCTTCGTTTGCTTTATTGTGTATATTTTGATAATCAAGACTAAATTTCCTTAGTCTGAATTGTTGTGCTGACAAAGAACACAAAAGCGCACACACCCTTCCAGGTCTTGCTGGAATTCACATTTTAGAGGAAGAAGACAATAGAGCGCCTTCCTAATCACAATCCAGTCTTTCTCTGTACTCTGGCCCCTCCCACTGCTAACTGAAGTCTTTCAGGCCCCCTCCTCCCTTGGTTTTGGCACCTACAGTTCCTTTCCCTGGAGGCATCTTTCTGACTAGTGCCTCCTACCATCTCCAGGGCCTCCGGAGAAATTCTTGGGGATTTATTGTAGGCATTATGACCATAGAGCTCAGATTTTGGGGCAGTTATTCAAAATGTTAAGAGGATGGTGCAATAGATTAGGAATAATGCCTTGGGATATTGTCTTTACCTGACAACATAGATGATTAACCCTCAGACCCAGCGGGAGGCAAATATTCTCTTTTAAAATTAATCAATTTAAATTATCTCTAGCTGATGTAAAGACCCACATTTTATGAATGTGATAAATCAAAGAAAAAATCCATGTTAGGCAAAAACATTTAAAGAAAATATTCACTCCACCTAATATTACTGAATGTGAACATGTGACAATTTTAGTTTTTAAGTTTTTTTCCTAAAAATCCTTTCCTAAAACAAAACAAAATTTGCTAAAAGATTCTCCAAATGTATATGCATGAAATATTTTTAATTCAGGAGGAAAAAAAAATACCAAATGACCCCCCCCCACCCTGAAAATAAAAAACAGAAAATACAATAAGAAATTCAATATGATGTCAAAAGAAATATAATGGTGGTTCCTTTAAGGGTTGTTTCAGTGTCAAAATATTCAGCTTGCCAAATGCTAAAATGCTAACATTTTCCTGCCAGGAGAAAACACTAGGGATGCTCCAGCTTTCCTTCTTTATAACACTGGGAGGTCAGTAAACAGGTCTTTCCTGGTTGGGGAAAAAAAAATAAAAGCAAGTTCATTGCTATCATTTGTGTCATGTTTAGTAATTTGTGTCATGTTTAGTAAATGAAAAGACTGGTGCTCTTAATTTATTTGCCACATTTTCCTCATAGGAAAAAAATTTGAATTTTGAAATTCTTACTGGATCCGAATTCATCTCCCTTTAAATGAATATTAAAGGGTGGGAAACTTAACAGTTTTTTATATGCAATTGTCTTGTGTTAAGTTAAAAATTATTGTAGAATATTATGAACATGCAGAAAATTAAATAGGCATACATCTGAGAGCTTTGACACAGTTTCTTCATTTTAAAAATAAAACTAAACATTGCAAATATAGTTGAAGCCTCCTGTGAAAATATATCTTCAGCATATGTAAAATTTTCTTTTTGTGATTGTAAAAGTTTTGTATGCTTAATAATAAAAATATATTAAGAAATCATGATAAAAATCATAAATAATTTAATCAGCCAAATACACCTATTTTTTGCATGATGGTAAATGTCCAACTAGTCCTGTGAATGTCACATATAATTTTATTTAGAAGGCTTTTTATAGGTGAAAATCTGAGAAATTTGCATAATAGATTTGAAATATGCATGTTTCCTAATGTGATTTTTTTCAAAACCAGTAAGAACACAGCGAGACCATTCTTGTACCTACAAGCATTGTATGCCCATTCATGTAAGCTTCTCCATATAGGTAATTTGGTAGTAAGATGAGATTCCCATGAGTGGAAGACTGGGGAGAGATTCTGCTCCCTCTAGATGTAAAAGGAGCTTTACTTTGGAAAGTGTTTGCCATCACTGTTATGGGCAGAACTGGAGTGGAGGAACTGAGGTGTATAGAGACAGCTTCTCAGGAGAGAAAGGCTCCTTATTACTCCTGGAAAATTTCTCAATGAAAAACTAGCAGCAATGGTTTAGCTTCTCCCTTTTATTGATTAAGCAAAGACAGCCTCACTCTTTAGTCTGAACACAGACTCTTGGTCCTTTTATTGGTCAAATTCTAAGTATTTCAGCTTTCCTACTCATTGAAAAGAGAAAACTGGTAGAGTCAGCAGGGGAAGAAATTCAGTCCCAAAGGAGGGCGCTTATGTAATTTTTTTCCTTTGTCTTTCCTTAAAGAGAAACTGCACATCATTGGCAGGAGAAATTAGTCACTTCCATGAAGGGCCTTAAAATGGGAAATCCAAGAAGATTCCTTTAGAAATCTGTAATGTTCTAAAATGAGAACATACTTAATATTGTGATAAAAAGATATTTGGAGCAAATTAATTTTGTCTTTAAATAATACAGGGCATGGAGAAAATAGTAATTTAGATATTTACAAATGTGAAATTGTTAAGGGTTGTTTTTATTGTATGTTTCAATTGCTGTGAAGAACCAGGGTGAGTGTTTAATTGTAAAGGAAAAAAAGAAAAAACAGATTTGTTTTTGCAAAGAGCATAACCAAAGAAGGCCAGATACACCAAAGACCAAAGGAAATTTGGTCAACATTATGACTTGAATGTATAACACTGTATCTACAAAGACTATTCTTGTCTTTTTCCAGGTGGAAAATATTATTTAGACCCTATGTATAATTTCCTCTCCCCTGCTCCTGTCCTCCTGATTTCTCCATGCTGCTTCTACTTTATGTAGTATTTACCACCCTTCATACCAATATTTCACTTTATCCAGTAAATGCAAGCATCACAAGTGTAGGTAATTGCATGGAACATATCTAAAATTTTTTGAGGTGTCTAGAACCTGGTAATTTCTTGATATTATTATTTATTATTAATGCCATTTTAGATTAAGAAAAACCAGAATGAAAAAACCCTTATGTCTATTCAGCTTGTTCATTTTTGTCTTAAGTATTAGTAATGCTAATGGATTATTTCCATTGTGATAAAAAGGCCTGTTTTCATATCTCATTTCTGTTTTTTAAAATTATTCTCCCATCCATATTATTTAGAATTGAAATCATTATTCACTAAAAATTCCATAAATCTCATTTGAAAGCTTTTTAAGAGCTAGCCTAACAATTATTTTTGGTAGTGCATAGAGTCTGCTAGTAATTCAGCGCATCTTTAAATATTAGCCAGGCATAAATACACTTACATAAATTCATTTAAGCTCAAGGTTAGATTTTTTTCTGTTTAAAACTACAGTATTCCTCTATTCCTATCTTTATTTACAAAGGTTCAATTTATAGGACAACATTTTGTTTCCTCGGATATTTCTTGCATTTCTAACTTAACTTTTGCTAAGAAAAAGATATAACTCTATAAATAAGAGGCTGAAAAATCACATATGCTGTAGCATACAGTGACTTCCATGAGAGGAACCCATATTAAAACTGGACAGGGCTCACCTAATCTAACCCTTCTATTTCACAGACTAGAAAATTAAATAGAGAATCAGGGATATGGTGACTTAGTTAAGGTCACAAAGGGATTTTGATTAGAACTCAGGTGTCTTGAAATGCATGGCTTCTAACTACTTCTACACTGAGATTTAACATCTCTGCCTAAGATTGTGTGCTTCACCACGAAGTTCATTTTCAGCAGCTGACTGAGCTACCTGCTCTCTGAATGAATAACTATAATCTATCCTGCTCCAAATCCAGGGGAGAATCCATGAGTTAGAGATAGAAGACTTTGGCAGACCCAAGGTTCCCCTGCCCCCCGCCCCCACCCCCAGGAGAAACATACTGTATTTGTGTGTGCAATCTTCCTTGGGATTTTGACTAATAACGACTCAATTCATAATCCTGATATGAGAGAGAGGGAAAGAGTCTGTGTATTTTAAAATGAACAGATCCAAAGGTATGACTTTACATCTCTTTATAAAGGTACATTTTCATTTATAAAGGTGAAGTTTGATATAATTTAGGTAAATATCCTGGCTTCCCTGATTATATAAAAAGAAAATCTCTTGTTAATTTTCAGAGAGTAAAAATATTTTAAGCAAACAACTCAAATGCCAACAATTGACATTTTAAGCCCAGAAAGAAATGATTTTACTACTGCTATTCTTTTTCCTTCACAGAATCAAACAGTAAAAGTGTGCTTGGTTTATTTATTAGAAGAAGCATTGGAAATGAATTCCTAAGTCCTGTCAGCAAATACTCATGCACACACACATTCATTCATTCATTCTGTCTGTCTATCTATCTATCTATCTATCTATCTATCTATCTATCTATGTATCTATCTATCTATCTACTATCTATCTATTTCTCATTGTCCTCTCT